GGGGCGACCTCGTGGGCACGCGTCAGCAAGTGGCTGTCGCAACCACCTACAACCTGTTACAAACATGCAAGGTTTTGACAACTTTCCGAATTGAAGGCCTCCCAGGCATGCCTCTAAACATGGGAACTACATGTCATCACCGACAGCTGATGCTTTCAGGTTGTAACTTCTAAAATACTCCCTGGCGCTGTGTAGGACATGGGGGAATGGGCTATAGGGACTATTTCATGGGATTATGCCGATGCTTCCATTTTGATCCGCGCCCCTGTCCCCCACTAAGTGCTAGGCAGAAAATGTGACATGAGCTGTGGTCTCATCTCCTAGTATTCCCCTTAATAAACCTTATAGTAGTCCCCCAAATAACCCGCTATATAAGCCCCTCGAAGGAGTTTAGACAATGGCTCACATAGTGTGCACACCCAGCTGCGGGATCTTCTTGTTGGCAGCGAACACTTGCGAAGCAGTGGAAGCACATTGCCAACCTGAGGTCTGTGGACGTTTAGGGCTTGGGGTTTAGTGTTTAGATGCTCATGGGTGCGAATTGCGGATTGAGATTTCAGGTTGTGTTGTTTTCTGGAGCAGGACTTGCGTAGCATGCGCGCATTTGCAAACCAATTCCACGACGCGTTCTCTGGCTGCACACCAACGACAAGGCGTGCGGGTGCGCATGCCAATACACCAACAGAGATGCCACATGTTCTGGGGAAGCCTGAAATGAGCCAATATCTAAACTCCAAGTATCCCCCTCAATACCCCCTACCTATAGTAGTGCCCTATATAATCCCCCATATAACCCCCCTTTAAGGAGCTTAGACTATGGCTCAAATCAAGAAGCTGCCTTTTGGCGAGGCACCGTGAGCACAAAGTCAGCATCATGAATCACGAACATCGGCTTCGCTACCATGACTGATTTAGTAGTGTCCCGGAATGGGGGGGGACCGCAAAATACGGTTATCCTTATTCTGATAACGCTAGCAAAAGGGTACGCCCCCAATTTTGGGACACTCCAACGTAGGACTATCATCAACGCTTCCTTTGGATGTCGTAGGTGTTAACATCTCGGAGCATACGTCAGCGGGAGCATCTGTAGGAGCACAACTAGGATAGGAGTTGTAGAGCATAAGCAGCGGCTGTGGTAGCAGTAGCGTTGGGAGTGGGAATCCCACTCTAATCAACCCTATACCTTGAGCCCTGAACCCTACAGCCTTACAACATAGTCCCCCTCAAGTAGATAGAACATGTCTTTGGGTGCAGTACAATAAGATCTCCATCTACCCCATATTCTATCTACGTAAGGGGGACTGCAACCGCTCGAACAAGAAGCACAGGCAGTGGTTGCAGGACTTCAGCTGGATTGCCGAGCTCGCAGAAGGTATCGTAGCTGCGCAGCTCCTTCGTTCGGAGGTTGCCCTAAGCCTTTCATTAATCATTACTGTCATTTTCTTTCCCATTACCCTAAAGCTTAGACCCTAAACAATATTGAGCCCTATAATTACTTAGGTCACAGGGTTCACGGTAGCCGGAGCAGGAGCCAGGCTTTTCGTTGACTGTCCTATTTAGGTTTTCGGGGTTAGGGTTTGGGGACTTTGTGGCATCGTATGTTGCTGAGTCTCCCCTATCTGGTCTTGTGCTGCTGGGGCTCAAAGAATAGAGAGGGTGACCTGTACAGGTAATCACCTCCCCCTAATAGTGAATGACCCTGTCCACGCAAATACCCTCAAAGTATCATCCACATATTAGGAGGAATGATCATTCTTCGTGGGGTGGGGACGCGGTTTGTTACTAGCTGCACCGTCTTTATGTGATGCCTATGGTGCGACTGCCTGGCCACCTTCCTATGCAGGCAGGCATGCCGGGTGTCAAAGTGTTGATGCACAAGCAGAAGTAACCAAACCCCAAAAGAAGGAATCCCCTCCCCCTCACGATGAAATTCTTCACTCCAGGAATCATCAACATTCTTCGTGTTAACAAGGCTACAAAATTGTGAGTACTCATATGTTTTGGGGGGTGGCGGTGTTATTGCTGTATGGGAAAAGTAGCACAAAAACAAGATGGCGCGGAACGGCTTGGAGTAGACCTGACCGCAAATTTGGCACTTGATTTCTGATCCAAAGCCTTCACGGTACATCCTGCACCCAGAATCACACAACAAAATCATTATGTCACACGAAATTCTGTCTGGTCGTCTACCCCACGGCCCTGCAATGCTGTGCCATCAGGCTTTCAGTGGTGTGGTTTCCCAGCCAAATCTTCAAACCCTAAAGCCCTAAACTGCCCGGAAACAAACAAAACACCCGAGTCAAAAGAAACTTCACACACGAGCCCCTCCACGCATCGCAGCTGTTGTAATGCAACCCTGCAATAGCAAGTGCGGAAGTACTGGCAGGCCACCATTTCAGACTTTTCAATCTCTTCTCAACGCAAGGGGCGCAGGCAAACCCTCCTCCATGGCCCTATTGCTGTTACAACTACAGCTGCAACTGCAACCACCGCTACGCAGCTACAACTGCTATCATTGTGAATGTCACCATCCACCACAACCACCACTGTTTCCGGCTACTTGGAGGTTCACAGGACTTAGTATCCATTTGTAGCTGGGGTTATAACCCTACTTATACTTGGAGTAACCCCTATAAGGTCATTTAGGGGGGTTATATCTAAGGCTCTAAGCTCAGTTATAAGTTGTTACTATTTCCCATGGACATCTATGTGGGGCAATGCCAAGATTCTCGCAAGTTGCCGGCATGTCATCCTCGGCCCCGCTCGTCCTGGGCCATGGTCCAGGGCGTATGCCCTGGAAGCCCATGCATGTGACGCGTAAGAACATGGGGACGAAGAAGGCTCATGGACAGTTAAAGATAATTTTTCTTTCGTTCGGACATCGCGATGCCCCAGATGGAACATTTATTCCTCAAGCCCTTGGATTCTGGCAATTGGTTATTCCATCCGCAGGGGACCATGGTTCGTGTCGGAGTGTTGCGTGGTGCGTAAGTCAAAGCCAGCAAGCTGTGCTGCTCCTGCAGCCCGTAGTAGCAACTTCTGTCGGACATCTGCAGAGCCCTCTGCGCCAATTTTTCCGCTCGTACTATGCCCTGTGGTCTGTCGCGAAGCGCCCCATGAGCCACTGACCTCCCTCTGTTTGTTCAGGAAGCACTGGATCCGCATAGTCATCCCAAAAAGGTATAACAGTCTCCAATTCCTTTTTTCCCTTCATACCCCGTTAACCAAGAGGTAAGTTCATAAACACGCTCGGCAAGTTGCAGAGAAAGGTTATAGGTGTCTGGCTGCTTAGCGAATTTGGGCTTGCTCTCTCTGACCATAAATCCATGGGGTACCGCAAAAGGGTAGTATTCCGAATGGTGCATAGGAAAAAATTGAAGGTATGTGCTTGGAGGCGCGGTTCTTGAATTAGTTCAATCCCCAGAGCCGTCAGAACCGCGTGAGCATAAAAAGGACGCCCCTTTCTGATGTTTCTGGCCCCCGATATGTTTACTGCTTGGCACGACTGTGAGCTTGCGTCTCAGGCGCGGAATGTCATTCTCAAACTCGCTCCAGCCATCAAACTCTTTATCCTAGCGCTGGAGATTCTTTTTGACTGCTTATGACAAGAACTGGGCTTTCTATGGTTCCTTTTAACCGCATCAAGAAGATCAAGAAGGACAAGTCATCTGCTTCGTCAGTAAAGCGTATAATTGCCGTCCGAAGTACTATGGAAAACTCTAAACCCATGAGTATACACCATAAACAACCTACATGGACCCATTGGGTTACAAACAACCTAAACGTGCAAATGCCGCAGCTTGCCGCCTATTCAAATCGCTTGGGGTCTTTTTCTTATTGCCAGGGCGTCCTATGTTTCATACTGGCGCTGCTGCAGAATATTGAGACATTCAGATTTTGTAGAGCTTGATGATTTTGAAGGCGGTACTGGCGGTAATGACGGTACATCTGCTGGGCCTCGAGCCTGCCAATTTCCAAGCGCACCTCATGAAAAAACAACTTTGTAATTGGTTCAAAGAACATCAAGTCAATGGTCACGAGTGCGTACTACTGGGCTCACAGACTTTTGGGGTTCTGTATGCAGGCTGAATTGCCCAGCATTTGGGACCATATATCCCTGTTACAAGGTACAACGAGGGTCGTGGTGTGGAATCTCTGGGGAGTGATCTGATGCAGCGGTCAACTGTCAACAATCCGGGAAGAATGAGTCGCGTCAAGGGGTGGCCCATGTTGAGACAAAGCCATGTAAAAACGCGCACCCCTTCTGATCACTGAATTCATGGCATGCCGACTCCCACCATGCCCTGCCCAAGGAAGAACTCCCCATGACACTGGCCCCCGGTAAACGGGTTGAAGCTCGAGCTGTCGAGAAAAGATTTGACAGCTGCTAAAGCTGCTGAAGGCTTAGCTCCCTGCAAATACACCCAGAACAACAGGGTTGTTTCAAGATGAAACGGGAAAGGTCCCGTGAGCTTTAAAAGGTTTTTCTTTAGACAGGCCGCTCTGCTTGATCCGTTTCATGCAGGTCCAGGTACGTAATCATCGCATGCTTGTGACAATCTCCAAACTAACTTGCCGGAGAGCAGGAAGGCTAAGTGACTAGAATGGGTGGGGTTGGGAGCGGATTGCTTGTTGAGAGGCATAAATGTCAATCATGGTCTGATAGTCTTTGCTGAGACCTTAAACCTACAACCATCAACCCTAGTGACCATGACCCCCCTTGAGGGGTCTGCCATTTGCACCGCAGGCTAGCCTTCGTGAAGACGGCACTGCCGTGGGAGAAGGCAGTGCGGGCTTCTACCCGCAGCCATTCTAGCCTCAGAGGCATCGCCGTGTTTTACAAGGCTTTGTTTAATTTCAAGTGCCGTAAGAACCATAAGTAGAATCCCTGGGCATGACCTTCTTGGGTCTGCCTTCTTGTTTGCCATCTGCGCTGCTTTTCTATGGATGGCAAGGTGTGACGCATGGCCACTAGCATTTCTCAGACACGGTAGTTACGATCAGTACACGGGTGGTGGACAACTCTTCTTCCGCAGGGCTGTCGCGACTCCATTCTTCTCATCTGCTTGCCAGATGTATTGCACAGCCTGCAACACCTGCGCGAGACGGCTCCGCACGTGTTCTGGAGGCATGGCCGGCACCGATGCGCCACACAAATCAACATAGTACTCTAACTGCCATGCGTACTTAGTTTTGGTGGCATGCCGTGCGCAAGGCGCCCAAGGTGGGACCAAGCGCAATTCTGTTGGCTTGTAGCCAACCAGCCTGTGCTGGCCCAAGACTGTAGACGGCAGTAGGAACATGCCTGCAAGGTTCCCATCTTGAAGCACTGCAGCCAAGAGCAAGTCAAAGTCGGATGCAGAATATGCAACTTTCCCTAAGACTCCAGCATGCTTCCGCAGGTTTATCGTGTAGGCATTAGAAGGACTGTGCAGGTGCGAAGCTTTCTCCTGAACGCGCCAGCTCTTGCCACCACCACTCAGCATCGAATCTACTGCGCTGGCCACCTCCAAGTTCTTCTTGAGGATATAGCCGACGCTCGCAAGGAAAGCTGCCATTTGGAGGTGGGTGTTCATTTCCAATCTGTGGGTTCTGGCCTCACACCTCAGACCTGCTTGTGTCAGGGTAATGTGAGGAAAATCAGCTGCACGCCTGAAGCACTCCACCAAAGCATGGCCGACATCTGTCACGCGAAATAATTCATCGCGACTGGAACCCAGCTGAATGTTGAAGCTTTGCTGGGTCACGGCTGCCCCAGGAACTGCCCAAACAATGCCATAATCAACAGCAACTAGAATCAGCAACATTCCGTCATAGCCCGCGGTCTTCTTGAAGCAAAAAATCGGCTTGTCTCCGAGCCCTGACGCGCTCGCGGCCTTCAGTTGTAGAGGGAGGCCACCAGCGCTGGAGCCCTTCCGCTGAAACAACGCATCTGCTCTGGAGAAACCCGGAACTCGAACTACCTCGAAACCCGTTACCGTTGAGCAGAGGAGGCGCTGCTGCAAGTGGCAAAAGGATTCTTCCTCTTTTCTTTTCCTGTCACGCTGTGCAGCCACCCCACGTGCTCTTGCTATCGCTGTGTTCTCGCTGAAGGAAGCTTCTGCTGAGCTTGGGAAATTCAGCGACCTCTTCAACCGAAGCCCGTCGTGGCATCTTACTCGCAAATGCTGGTCATAGGCACGCGCAGCGCAGACCTCTGACCCAAACAGGCCTGCATGATAGTTTTTGCCTTCAAAATAAACCCTCACCACAAACTTGCGGGCAGCCTTGTGCCAGCTAACTCCATTAAAGCAACTACTAGCCTGTCTGCGGAAGCTTTGTCCGCTTTGGTGTAAAATCTGGCTGCAGCGGTTGGCTGGAAAAATCATCCAGCTTCCGCGCCAACACGCTGGCTCTCGGCATTGTTTGAACTATGAAAATGACAACGCCACTCGCCACCCTCAGAAACACGACAGCGACACTTGCCACCCTCAGAAAGTAGCCTTAAGCTCCAGAGCGTAAAGCATCACAAGCTGCAGGCAAGTTACCAGCTGAAGAGGACTGGCGAGCCGCAAAGTGTTTCAGCAAGTGTCTTGAGCTCCTGCATGCATGAGAACATGTACTCATGCTTTGCCCGGACTGGGGGCTTCAAAAGAGCATGTTCAGGGAATTCTGTGGTACATTCCAAGGCTGATCAATCGGTGTCTGCTTCAAAGCTAGCCTAGATTGAGTCAAACTTCACTACAATGTCCAGCCCTTCTGGGGCTCGTGATGCCTTCCAAAGGAGTGCGCGAGTTCCAAATGATTCATTGGATAGATGACGGAAATCCCGGAGGGCAACCCTAGGACACAGAATTAAAACAACGCACATGCTGTGCAGATCAGAAGGGCAGGGCAAGGGGTCCTCCCTTCAGCCAGAATCCACTTACCACTGGACGAGGGAGCCACGAAATTGAAGAGAGATGAATTTAAGTCAGGAAGCTCAGAAACCGTGACCCTTGACCTTACGCTCCAAAAAGAAATCCCTAGCCGCCCTAGCCCAGGCCTCTTCAAAATGCTGCAAACATTCCGGACTATAGAGCTGCGAGTTCAGCCTGCTAAGCGAGGTTCTTGGGAGATATGGCTTGAGATTTCGGAGTTTATCAACATAGGAGGCCTAATGGAGAGAGAGAGAGAGAGAGATGTACGTATGTATATATATATATATATGCATCATAAGGGGACTCTAATGGTCCCTTTATTGGGGATTATACGGGGGTTATACCTTGCGGGTCTTGGGGTAGGGCATGGGCTTTGGGGGCGACTCTGTAATATCGCCGGTAGGTCCGAGCAGCTGACCTCAATTTGTGGTTTTGGGCTTTAGGTTTGGGGATCTTGTGTGTATGTGGGATTTGGAGCTTTCAGGCGTGATGTTCCGAGTCTTGAGGTTCAGGCTTGTGGTGGCCCTCACTGCGACTTCTAGGTGCACACGCAAACACACGTATGTGCTGTGTGTTTGTGCGCAAGGGGGGAGAGCCCTGTGAAACCTAGTATGCAACTTTCAGAAATCGGGCAGGCGGAATGCAGTTAGAGAGGACTCCACATCTTCGATCTCACATGACTGTCTCAGACTGAAGCCTCTACGACAAAATATGAACGGTTGAGGGGGATCTCGGTAATTTTCTCTGATTTTCTCAAAAACCCCTTTAACACCAGGGTCCATACAAGTACCCCCTCTTGTAACAAATTCCTCATATCTGGAAATTTGACAGGCTTCAGAGCGGCCTAGAACCCAAAGGCGGGTCTGCGTGCCCAAGTTTTAGCCCTAGACATCCCCACACCAAAGCACAGGTCCTCTCGACAGTTCAAGTTCCTGGGTATACCTCTTTGATGCAAAAATATGCATGCTCATGTGTGTGTGCATACATGTACGCGAGGTCAGGCGAATTTTCGAGCCACGTACAAAACACATCGACAGTAACGTCTGTCGAAGAATCTTTTGCTCGAAGGGATCCTGTTTGTATGGCTAGTTGAAAGTGGCAACTGCGCGGACGTCCGGCTAAAAATCCTTCAACTTTCTTAAAAGCAATCAAGCTACCAGCCGCTTGCATCTTTACCAGCCATGTACTTTTCTGCATGGACGCTTGATCCTCATGACAATCCCGGGGCAAGGGCTCAAACGAGGGCAGCTCAGTGCTATCATCATCTGCGAGGTAGCCAGGGGGCAGCCTGGGCAGAGCTTGGGCCTTTTTTCGACAGAGAGGGCATGCATGTTATCTGGAGATGATGCGTGATTTTGTGCTGAGATCGCAAAGAAGGACACATGCTTGAGACTCGTATGCAGGATTGCTTTGGCAATGGGATGCTCTGGAACAGTACGGGTCGTACATGCTCAATGGCTTGTATTCGAACACATATAGGATTCTGCGACAAGATGTGCGATGCTGTTTCTGGGGCTGTTTAAAGCCTTAAGTAGAAGTACAACGAAGTACAAAGCCCGGAGGGTTCAAGTATGTGTAAGATCCAAGGTACCTGTCAACAGGAGCAATCGCAAACATCTAGCCTTCAGGTGGAGAAGCCTAAGCGAACGAGGTTTAACATTGAAGCGTACTTGCTGTTAACCTCGTTGGCATTCTTACAACTCAGAGTTCCTCTTAATAAAGTGGTTCTGACTGCTTCGCTGTTGTAACTCCTGTTGCTGTCTTATGTTCCGCAAGGATATTCTCCCCGAACATGCTGATGCTTTGGTACCTTTGTTGTGCCTGAGTATTCTGGAACGAGTTGCAGCGGAATCGTATTAAATCTCCGTTTGTGCGCAAAGGGGAGGCCTTCGACATCTCTTGAAATCATGGCATTGCTCCGCGTCCCTGAGGAGTTGTACATGAAACCCTATGCTGGGGAAGGCCAAGGAGAAGCCTATGCATAGCAGGAATCGGTTGGAGCAACTTCAACATCAAAGAAGAATTCGGAGTGTAGGAGCTGGAACATCATAGAAATGGCAGTTTCCCAAAATAGCGGGGTCCCAATATAGACCCCAAAAAGCTATTGCTTATTGTGGGGACGGAACCACCCTAGGACTAAAAAGGGTCCCCTTTTCGAATATATGTAGTTTGCTTTTATCAGGAGCTCAGGACCACCACTCCCCCCCCAAAGAGAACAAAATGTGAAACATGGCTTGAAACACAAGACACAATCAGACAAAGCCTGAAGAAACGCAGGCCAGGAGCCAAATCTTGATGCCGACCTTAGTGTAAGGGAAGATCGCCTCCAAGGGAAGTCCTGCGACAGCCAAACCCCATAGGGATGGGTTTACGGTTTAGGGATCCAAGTATACAAATAATACCTACACCCCAAAGTCTGTCAATATTACCTACATTGGGCCATTTGGATCCCCCTAGAAAAGTACTGTGCGTCAAACCAGGAAACAGGCCAGAGGCGAAGAGATGTATGTGAGTTTCTTCTATCAGCACCGGATATGTGACCCCTGATGCCCTAAGGTCCAAGTACCCAATAATCATATACTTACCCAAAACCTGTACTAGAATTACTAGTACCCCAAACCCAAGTACCTAATAATTGGGTACTTGGACCTTTAGGGATACTTAGGAAATGTCCTCGAAATCAGGCATCTTCCGCAGACCCAGGGATGAGAAACAGATGCAAGTGAGAAAGCTTATGAGATTCTTGTAGGTCTAACATTGCAAAATGCCGAGCTGGATCCACAAGCTATGCGGAATAATTGTCTTTGGGCACATGTTTAGGGGTTTTGGGCCGTCATTTTTCCTACTTTGGGGGTCCGGTACTCATGTTTCCTGCAGGCTGAAGGAGCAGGAGCTGGAGCTTTTGTCCGAGAACGTCGTCTGGGAGCTGTTCCAGTTGCGGCAGTTCCAGCGTAACCTGGGAACTTTTAAGGATGTTGGGTCCGGTTGTTGGGGCGCTATAAGGGGTTGGGGAAGGATTTTGCAAGGATTCTGGCTTCGGTGCATAGGCTTCCTCGAGCCCGCCCGATTAGGTCTGCATGCTGGTACCTCCCTGGGTCCATGCTGTCGTGTCGGGGAACTTTTAGAGAATCTATCACGGCGCCTGAAAAAACAAGCCCATGCTTCTACTCCCGAAACCCATGATAATACTTTACAACTCACTTCTTAGACTCCAACTACCCTCTCTTCAGGCCTAAGTACCCATTCCCATGGACCGTATAATTCAAATCAACATAAGAGGGTATGGGCTTAAAACTTGTCATCAACGCAATTTTCTCTCTCCACACGAATAGACCCTCCCTAAATCCTGAACACTAAACCAACTTTGCAAAACATGCCAAGGCACTTCCTTGCTTCCTTCGTAGATGGCCTGGTCGGATCTAGAATCTACCTAGACCCACAAAGTATGTGGAAAAATTGCCGTTGGGACAATTTCTGGCCATTATTACCTGTCGTTCAGGTAGATGGCAGGCTCGAAAGGCTTTCAGATCCGTGGCTTCAAAACAAGAGGGGCGTCTCCTTGGGAGTCCTTTTTAATCAGGACAGGAAAGAATTTTTAGAGGTTTGTGTGACATGGAATTCATATATAATCCTTTTATCAAGTTGCCCATTTAGAACAAGTGCGAAGGATCCTTGGCCTTCCACGGGCTGAGCATGCTTGGATCGAGGAGTGTGCAGTCGCAGGTGAGGGACGTGGGCTTCTCAGGTGAGAATTTCGTCCCTCGGGGTCTAGCAGCTTTACATCTGACATCTTGGGGATCGCTTTAGAACAACTTTTTTGCAGCTGGGTCCCAAAACGGCTTAATAAGCGAAGCTGTCTGACAAGCTGTGAGTTTCGAAGATCGAGGGCTGTACACCAGCCCACCCCTCTAAGCCCGGAAAAACGCGGAAACCTCCAGGGCGACGCTCCAGATGAGCGCCAACAGTTTCGCCTCCTGCCCTCTATGCTTTGTAGAAAATCCCCCTTGCAAGCCCTAATCCTTGGCATAGAATGTCAAACCCCAAACCCAGCCCCTGCATAAGCTTTTTAAAGCAAGGCTAACCCAAACCCATGATTAATGAACGCCCTTCCCATAATAGGGACTATAAGAGGGATCCTATATTAAGGCCCTAAACAGGAAGGGATTTATTAATAACCCTAGATAGTAGTTTCCATGTCCTCTTCCACTATCCCTATATAATCCCTATATTACCATATTACCCCTATATTACTCTTAAAGGGAGAGGGCTTATTCATCCCAATCCCTAAACCCTAAACCCTAAACCCTAAGCCCTAAATCCTAAACCCTAATCCCTAAACCCTAAATCCCTAAAGGCCCTAAAAGCCCTGAAGGCCCCTAAAAAGGAAGGGGCTTCTTCATCAGGGGTCTACAGTACCCACCTCGAGGGAGCTGAGCTCTGCCAACTGCTCGCTGTTGGACATGCTCTTCTAGGTTTCAAAGTTGCACTTTTGTCTACCTAGTTGCTGGGTGCCCTGGCCCCTGAAAAAGTGTACACTTTTTAGTTTAATGGGACTATAAGAACCCAAAAAGTGTAAAGCGTACCTACCCAGCTACTAAGTCTATATGGAGGTGTCCAAAAATTAGGGGTACCATTTTGGGGGGTCCCCATAATAAGGATTCTAGAATTTGGGGGGAGGGGGGGGGGTCTATATTGGGGTCCCACTATTTACGGAAACTACCATAATATATAGTCCCCCTTAGATAGATAGAATATGGCTTTGCATATTTTAAACCAGCACCTTGAGCCTAGAAGTAGGAGTACTGGCAGTGACACGGTGCAGGGGCATGATGAGGAAGGAGCACTGCTCAATGGTGATTGCCGGCAGTGATCAAAGCTGCTCATCAGCAAAGAACAAAAGCCCAAACATGCCAATTTTCTTCAGGTTCTGATGACCTAGAAACTTATGAGCGTCAACCCATCTACCATTTTGTCAAAGCTTTTTTCTTAGTGAAACGGCTGAGGCCCTGAGAGGAAAATCTCCTCCGCTACTACAAAGAATCTGGACTGCCGGGCCTCGGCAGAAATGTTATGATTGTCACCCAATTCAATAAGTTGATATCTACATTAGAACCCGCATGCAATAGGGACCCGGGTAACACTTAGGGTTCAGGATTGAGTATGAGTAGAGGGCTGAACATGTAGCTGAGGTTTCAATCTTCGGGGCCTACCGAAATTTAGTTGAAATAGATGCTTGTGTTAAAAAAAACCGGGTTCTGACGGGACAGCATGCTTCTGGATTGAGGCTTCCCCCAGGACTCAAAATAGCCCATGCAAGTCATGTCTATAGATCTTGGGGCCAATGCAATAAGTAGGAATCGTTTTTGCACCTTGAGCCCCAGGGCAAGACTCTAAAGCCTCAAACCTATTTGGAGACGTAGACCAAAGTTAGGATTGGAGCGTTTCATCTCCGTGTCGCACAAAAAGCATACTGGATCCATCAGCGCATGGTGAGATTTGCGGAACCCATGTATATTGGTGCTATATTGGGGTCATATATGGATAACGGAAAATAACATGGAAACTATTATATTACAGGGTTATATTAATAGGGGTTGTACGGGCTCCCTGTTAGAGATCCCTATGGTATTGGCTCATGCCGCTGCATTTTTGCTGCTATGAAAGATCAGTGCAGGAACAAAAAGCCCGTTAATGCTGACTTTGCTGAAAGGAAGAAGCTTCAAGAGGGTTACGTACATGAAGGTTATATGCTTTGCCCTAAGGGTCCAAGTACCCAATGATTAGGTACTAGGGTTTGGGGTAGGAGTAATTCTAGTAAAGGTTTTGGGTAAGTATATGATAATTGGGTACAAGGACCCTTAGGGATTTATATAGGAATTATATGATGTCTATGGGTGCAGGGTTTAGGGACTCGTGCTCCTATGGAAGCTACTAGAAAGCAAGGCAGGCTACCGCCAGGACATGCATATAGCATGAACGGAATGTTCTCTTGGGATAAGTGCGAGATCCACGGACGTACAGACGCGCAGTTCTTAATCCTCAAGCCCCATATCCAACACGAAAAGCTCCGAATCCGAAACCCCAAGCCTAAGACCACACCCTAAACCTGCAGCAAATGACCGTTTCACAGAAGCGCCCTCCGAATCTGTACACAGGTAGGCCGCACTCTGGGTGGCGGATCCCGCTCCGTGCCACATCCGCGAACACAAGCTTTCACTCATAGAGGGAGTCGTCCAAGAGTTGTCCAAGTCATCCTTCTTGTTTACAAGGCTCCCTCGCTGTCCTTCTGTCAACTCTGCTGTCCCTTCGGCCTAGGAGCATGCCCTATATTACATACCTGGTCTGGCCTCACATGGGCCACTACCCTAAGGGTCCAAGTACCCAAGAATCATATACTTACTCAAAACCTGTACTAGAACTACGAGTACTCCAACCCCAAGGACCTAATCATTGGGTGCTTGGACCCTTAGGCTAGTTACCAGTTGCAGAAAGGCACTTCTTGTCAAGGAAGGTTTGCCTGAACAGCACCCCCAACCCAAAACCCTACACTCAAAACCTCCAAAAGTTAAACCCTAAACCCCTGAAGCCTTTAAGTCCTTAGAAATCCCCTAATTGGATTCAGTAGTAATAACCTACTTACTATGTCCCCTGCGCCTTCAAAATCTAAACCCTACACCCTAAACCTCGCGGCAGGCACGGGGGATCCTAGTCGCGTCGGCTTTCATGTATGCGCTGCTTCATGGTTCTTTCCAGGGAAATATCGGAGTTTAGGGAAGTTTTCAAATGGTCTAGAAGGGCTATGCAGGGATGATTGGGGCTTAGGGCGATATAGAGTTAGGGCGATATAGAGTTTCTAGAAAACAGTGGTTTCGGATTCCCGTTGCTAAGGACTTTGGTGCTTGGGGGGGTATAGACGGCCTACATTTTCCCAAAATTGGTCTCAGACCTTGAGAAGCCTGATTCTGAGGCCAGATGAGTCCTGAGCAGGGCTCTTTTGAGTTGTCCACGCATCCTGGGAGAGGGATGCAAAGTAAGGGATTACAATAGTAGGCCCTCCAAAGGTACTCCCCCCCCCAGGGTTTAAGGAGCTAATAAGGATTGTATAGGGCTTAATAAGGCCTATTAGGGCTCTAAATCTGGGGGGGTACCTTTGCGGGGGGGTACTAGTGTAATTCCTTACAAAGGCATTAGCGTGAAGACTATCATGGGGATTCATTCCATCAGACACAGAATGTCTCATGTGCAAAGATAACCTCACCATACATTACCTGCATGACCCTACTCTGTGCAACCTATAGATTGCGGTATAGGTTGGATATACGCAGATGACACGGACACCTCAGGGATTACGTAAAGATTTTTCAAAGGAGTTCCATACTTACGTGAGAGCTCTTCTAAGGTCCGTGTCACGGAGAAATTGTTGGGGAATGCTCTTCCCTTAAAGGAGAGACGGAAAATGGGGACACCTTATGCCCATGTTGGGGACTGGCATTTTGAACCCGAAGCTCCAAGGACTCATCATAAAGCCCTAAAACCTAAGCCCTAAACCCTAAGCCCAATGAGCCCAAATAACTGATTAACTACCACGTGGGTGTGTCCCTGGTAAGAACCAGCAGGACAGCGCTACTGGAAGCTCTTGCATCCGTAGGATGGAACTCTCTCCTAAGCTCGCCTTGCGTGCACGTTTAAGTAGGGTTGAGACTTTTAATTTTAAGGTTTAGGACTGAGGACTTAGGGCTTTGGATGTATACGATTGGCATCAGTGCTTTCAGAACTTGTGGTCCAAACACCAAAACGTCCTCCTGGCCCTCTTGGCCTGATAAGTCGTTTGTAAGACGTCAGGCGAAACCTGCTTGAACATACTGAAACTTGGATGGAAGCAGATCTCCAAGGTTTCGGATCTATAGGGATAGTAGCGTTACCCTAGGCATCCCCATTGGGAAACATGTTGGAAGGTAAGAGCTGGGAAGCTCACGCGAATCTCAGGACTCTTTGTATGTGCTGGCCCAAATTTAGGGCTTAGCATTTAGGGCCTAGGGTTTAGGGATTTAGGGGTTTAGGGTTTAGCGTTTGGTTTACGTTCAGGATTGGTGCAAAACTCTGTCATAGCTGGACAATTTCATACCAGTTTAGGACCCTCTTCCCAGAATACGGTTCCACAAAAGAAAGCAACACGGCTTAGTTTACACATGTTTACACGTGTATAGAAACCGAAAGATGGCAGAAACCGACCGATGTAGAGACCACGGTTTCCTCCAAATTTAGAACACAACCCCTTCGTAATGAATACCCATTCAGAACAAACGCGGAATATTGCATGGAAACTGGGATGATATAGGGAGGCCAAGTAGGCATGCTATGAAACACCAGTGGTATTTATAAGGCTCTAATCCGCTTTTACCTATAATA